TGGGGGTGCAGACAGTAAGCGCTCTCCCTGCCCGGGGCATGGCCGCCGGGAGGAGGAGTGGATCAGGCTGCGCAGAGGAGGGTTGGAGCTGGCCTGTGGCTCAGGGCTCCGCTGGCCGCTCATGGGACTTTCTCCCTGTGCACTGGGCAGTCCGCGTGAGTGGTCAGAATGCTGTACTGCAGGTGTTCACAGCTGCTTCATGGAAGACCATGTGCTCTGATGACTGGAAGGGTCACTACGCTAAAGTTGCCTGTGCCCAGCTGGGTTTTCCAAGGTAAGCTGGAGGGCGTCTCCAACCCAGGGTGAAATGCTGGAAGGGACAGCAGTGAGGAAGGACAGCAGTGAGGAGGGACAGCTGCCACCTCGCTGGTACTGCTGGGTGCCTCGACGCATCTCTAAGTCCTGTCCTGTGGCAACCCTGTGGGGCTCAACATCCTCCTCATTTCACAGATGAGCAAACCAAGGCCCAGACAGGCTAAGGGACGCGCTCAAGCCCACGGGAGAGATGGCATGAGCGGGGGTCCTCATGGCAGGCGGGACCCTGGGTGCGGACACACAATAAAGCACTTGGAAGCGCTTCTCACTCTGCAGCTTCCTGGGCAGCTTCCCGGACACCGTCCGCATGGTCCTGGTGGTCACTTCAACATCCCTGCAACCTCCCTAGGAGCCCCACAGTTGTTAGAAGCCAGATATGTAGTGAAAACACAGTCATTCAAAACAGTTGCTCAGCAGCATGTGGGAGAGAACCACTGCATGGGCGTCGTGCTTTCCAGTATTTGGTGTGGCCGCCTGAGTTGTTGCACTGAAGTGACACATTTTTGCCCAGATCCAGTGCTTTTCCTCTCCTGGCTCCTTCCTCTGACCTTCTCACAACACTGTCCTTGCTGCTCTCGCTTGTGATCTGGGAGCTCAGGACAGGCCGGCTCTGCACCCTGCTCTGCGCCCACGGAAACGGGGTCATGAAAGCCGCACTGCTCTGACTCCTACCGGGTCTCAATTCTCAAACGTCACGGTCACATTCTCAGCTGTCTTCCTCCAAAGCTGGTGAAATGCCCACGCCCATGTCCCTGAGACCTGCCTCTCTCTCACTCCACGCCAGCCTGGACTCATACGTCAGCTGCGTTCAAGTTCAACAGGGATAGCAAACCACACACCAGCACCTTCAAGATTTATGTAGGCTTGACTCCTCAGAGAAAGAGAAGTTTACTCACACCCACACGGATACACACACGACACACATGGATATACACAACTCACACGGATATACACACGATGCACACAGATACACACACGACTCACACAGACACACATGACTCACACGGATATACACAACTCACACGGATACACACATGGATACACACGACTCACATGGATACACACACGACTCACATGGATATACACAACTCACATGGATA